TCCCTTCCCAGGAGTTCGCCTTGGAAGTCGCAGTCTTCCGCCCTTCAGTCGCCCCCTCTCCCTCCCCCTTCCCACCCCCTAAGAGTCCGCTTTGGATCCACCTAAAAAATATACCTTGTTAGGAAAAATGACACAGAAATTTTGGATTTTTCGAGGTTTTTTTCTTTTACTTAAAAATTTTCGTCCAAAAATATTCTTCCATCCTCAGTACGTAAGCACCATGGCACTCGTAGGGGAAAGGACGGGTCTCTCCTGTTACCCGCTTACATTTCCCGCAAATGGGTCTCCTCAAAACCAATTTCACCGGTCACTACTACGTAGAAAGTCTAAGAAAAACCCTACGGATTGGCGGGCTGAATAGATAGGCACCGGGCAGTTTTACCTATCATGTACGGGCAGTTTTACCCATCATTTACGGGCAGTTTTACCCGCCATGTACAGGCAGTTTTACCCATCATTTACGGGCAATTTCACCCATTATTTGCGGGCAACTTTACCCGTCACTTATGTGCGCCAAATTTTCGCGCAAAAAACCAATCGCCTGTTGTTGATCTTATCACTGTCTGTGGCTTAATTTTTGGCATTTTTGCAGGAAAATGCATCGTTTGCTCACATCCGCTGCAGACGCGCTGCAGTTTTCTCGTGCAGCAAATGTTATCCTCAAAAGGCCATGCGCTGCAGCTGCAGCTGGTACTGTTCGCTTTGCCTCATCTCAGGACTGTATTGCAAAAGAGGACAAATACGGGTGCCATAATTACAAACCCATTCCAGTGGTGATCGCCAAAGGAAAAGGTAATTTTTAATTGATTTTGATGAAATATAATTGTCTTTTGTCAAATTATTTCTTTCAGTTCTTCCCTTTTCGTCTAAGCTTTGCACTGAAATCTCTCACAGCGATCGTAGACGTGGACTTGACGATTAATGGTGGTCACAAGCTCAGCATGGAATTCTTCCACTCATTCGCTCTCAGCTTTACCTAAGCATCAGTTTCATAAATGGGGAAGTCCCTCCTATTGACGACGGGCATAAAATTGTCTTGTCAACTTATTTCTTTCAGTTCTTCCCTTTTCGTCTAAGCTTTGCAATGAAATCTCTCACAGCGATCGTATATGCGGACTTGGCCGAGTAATGCTGGCCAGGAGTTCAGCATGGAACTCTTGCACTCATTCGCTCTCAGCTTTACCTAAGCATCAGTTTCATAAATGTGGAAGTTCCCCCTATTGACGAGGGTATAAAATTGTCTTGTCAACTTATTTCTTTCAGTTCTTCCCTTTTCGTCTAAGCTTTGCAATGAAATCTCTCACAACGATCGTATATGTGGACTTGACGATTAATGTTGGTCACAAGCTCAGCATAGAACTCTTCCACCCATTCGTTCTCAGCTTTACCTAAGCATCAGTTTCATAAATGGGGAAATTCCCCCTGTTGACGAAGGGTTTTTATAGGACAATTTCCACTTACATAGACTCTTTTGCTTTTATTCCTCGTCATTGCTGTCCACGGTGGGAGCGTGAACTTGAACGATTTTAAGGGTTTTATTGGAATCTAACGGTCCACGTCGACTGACCGCATTGTCTTGGTATTCTTGGCTTTTTTTTTTATTTTGCATTCGTTTATGAAATTGATTTTTCAGGAGTGAAAGTGTGGGACGTTGAAGGGAAGTGCTATTTTGATTTTTTGGCTGCCTATTCGGCTCTTATTCAAGGACATTGCCATCCCAGGATCGTCAAGGTATTTCTTTGTTTATTACTAGTACGAAATTAACATTGGTATAAAAACCCATCGTCAGTAGAGGACTTCCCTATTTTTGAAGCTGATGCTTAGGTAAAGCTGAGAACGAATATTTTCATTGTACTGTTTGAACTGAGCCAAAGGAAGGGTAGACTGGATGCATAGGGATGAAGTCAGCTTTTACTTCTATAAAATTTTGGAGGCAAAAAAATGAGCTGCGCATTAAAAGCATTAATTTTGGTGAATATTTTTATTCATGGACTCTTGCCTTGGACCAGTTGTGATACCAAAATAAGACATATACAAGTAAAAGGCAGTACGAGCCTCAAAGATCCTGTGAGGGAATGGAAGAGGGTAGTAACCAGGGCCAGGAACAGCAGCCCATTCAGCGAAGGGTAACGACCGGCAGGGTCGCACCAACCCTACATGGAATAGAAATAACCAGGGGTAGGACGGTGGCCGTCCAAAACTTTTGTCTAAAACTTTTGTTACGTTTTTTTTTTCCTTTTTTTTCACTTTTATTCACTTTTGTCTGCTTATGCCCGATTGCAGGCACTAAAAGAACAGGCTGATGTGCTAACACTAACCTCGCGAGCATTCTATAACAATCTGTTGGGTGATTACGAAGCTTTTCTGACCGATGTATTCGGCTATGATAAGGTGTTACCGATGAACAGCGGTATGTGGTTTTTGTTTATCTTTATTTTTTTTTTTTGGCCCAAAAAAAAATTTTTTTTTCATCTTTATTGGCCCCGGTTTTTTCGCTCCACGTTATTAGGGTTCTTTGAACTTTTTGATTTTCTATTGTTCAGTTTTCGTGGTGACTTTTTGTGACGTACTGCGACTAGAAGGCTTGTTTTACCTAAAACGGTTATTTTACGTACTGTCACCTCCACTTCCTTTCTTTCCTCCTTCATCTTCCATCGGAAAGTCACATGTTCGTTCAAAACATGGCGGTGTGGGGCGCTGCACTGATGATTTCCACCCCATTCCGCACCGACTGTGCCGTCTGTGTTTACAGTTTAGGGATGAAACACAGACCGGACAACAGCTAATGCACATACAGGCTCGCTTATCTGGGTACTTGAATTAGCACTCACTGCTTTTCCAAAACTGACAATATTCGACTGTGTCCCTTTCATCGGCTGGCCTACAGTGCCAAACAAACTTTCATAGTTTAAATTTTTCAAAAATTTCCAAAACACTTACCTAGTTTAAACCATCCAATTCCTCTCGAGCTTTCCTCATTCGCATAATTCCATATAGAGGCTTATGTAGGAAAAACTCAGTGAGTTTTATGAATAACGATCTGAACAGTACTGTTATTTTCCCGGTGAAATTTTGTAAGTTTTCAGGTGTTGAAGCTTGTGAATCGGCTGTAAAACTGGCACGACGATGGGCGTATGATGTGAAAAAAGTTCCCAAAAATAAAGCAAAAATGGTTTTCGCAGAGAATAATTTCTGGGGCCGCAGTATTGCAGCAATCTCGGCTTCGACCGACCCAGAGAGCTATGGTGGTTACGGCCCATTTGTACCAGGATTCGAAACTGTCCCATACAATAACTTAGAGGCTCTAGAGGTTTGTTTAACGTGGAGCCCTTCAAGAAATATATCGCTATTTGTTGTCACGCTAGCTGGCTACTTTCCCCCTTCCGTTTTTTCGTGTCTTTCTCTTTTCCTTTTCCATTAAGCACTGCGACCATTGTCATACGGGCAGGGTTCCGTCGTGCGGTGTTGAGCTAAGACGCATATGAGGCCCAGTTGCAGCACTGAACAGGAATGTATGCGACTTGATGAACGGAAACATTCTTATTCAGATTTTTTTTTCAGATTTTAACTTATTCACATTCTCTTTTATTCATTTACTTCTTACATAAACACACATCATCTAAAATTAAAATAAATGGCCAACGCACGGGCTGCCCGTGCGAAGATGCGTTTTTTGCAGAGTTCCCC